GAGTAGGGTCCACTTGAGTCCAAATAATTTGAATTTTATCATTAGCGTGAACATATCCACATACTCAAATTTGTTCTAGGACTTACAGACAGATAACATTTAGCATAGATTTGTATTTCAAGCTGCTATGATTGGTGGTCTTTTTTTATGTAGAAAAAGTGCAAAGAGTGAAAACAAAACAAATCGGTGCATTTAAGAAAAAGCTGATTTAGACGAAACATCTTGTATTCCTCCTCTGACGGTGTCTATTTATTCAAACACTTTTAGGTTCATACACCGTTTTACTGAGGAACTGGATTTTTTTACTGTACATTTAACGAGAACATTTGTTCCTCTCCAGCATGAATTCTGCCTTTGTGCGAGGACCAGAAACAAGGACAAGAACTGTGTCAGTCGACAGCGAGCTGGACTGTGACCATCTGTTAGATAACCTGACGAGCATGACACCAGCATGTGGTCATACTTAACAAGTTTCTAATGTTGTTGTTAAACAGAGCTCAACTAACTTTGTTTCCTTTTCTTTCTTGTAATGTATTTTTATTCATTGTAGTTCATGTATAAGCAAAAGAACGTTTAAAAAGCGCAAAACTAATTTTGTTCTGTGAAAAATTACCTTCTAATTAAAACTTTTTGTTTTAATTAATTTCATTAATAATTGTTTCATTTCTGATTCTGACCTTTAATGAAGTGATTTGCCTATATAAACGTAACTTTCCCAAGCTGTCGCAATTATAAAGGGACTCATACATTAAAAATAGCTGCTGGAATTTTTTTTGGGCTAACAAGATGGTGATAAGAATAAGATACACAACAAGCCAAAGAGCCAAACTGCAGCAAATATGAGTTTGCTTTAGAAAGTACAGGAAACATGCCCATCAGTCTTATCTGTGGAAACTGTGAGTGTTTCCTGTCTGCAGCTGTGTGATCGAGCTGAGGCCATTAGCATGACTTGCACTGGATGGACTCTTAAAATTGAGGGGGAGGAGTAAACTCATGATGAAACAAACAAGTAATGACGATAATGTTTTACTGCATGGAGGACCGAGTTGCTCCTACAGCCAGATTTGGGAAAGTTTACATGCATGAGTCAGAGCAAGTAAATGTTTAGACAGTAAGATGAAGGTGGCTCTGCTAAGTTGTGGTTATTAACAGCTGTTTGGCATTTCCTGCTCGCTGTGGATGACTTACAGGAGTTTTTGTCATCACCTGGACTCCGGTTTCAGTCTGTCTCTTGCCTATGGGTCCAAGAAAATATGCGGAAGCTGTTATTTTGTAACTGTAGAGCAGGGGTAGAGCAGACCAGCTACTGATTGGAAGGTTGGTGATTCGATCCTTGACTTCCCCAGTCTGCATGTAAGCTACTAAGTAGTACAAGTGGCTCTCCGATGCGTTAATCAGAGTGTGAAGGGTGGTTAGATTGCACTTGAGTTTATAAGTGCATGTATGAGTGGGTGTAAATGGTGAATGAGGCATGTTGTATACAGCGCTTTGAGTACTCCAGGAGAGTAGAAAAGCTCTATACAAGAATCAGTCCATTTACCACTCTTACAAGTAGATATATGGTAGTGCAAGACAAAACACAATATCAAAATTGCAATATTTTATATGCATATAACATTGCAACAGCAACAAATGTTGGAATTGTAGTTAAACATAAATTCCCATAAAAGAAGCTGCAGAAGCATTGAAATACTGGAAGCTGTTGCCTCACACATCAAATCATGAGAGCATGTCCAAAACAAAATAACAACTTTCTATCAAAAACACAACTGAATGTTTTCCTAATCAAATGTACATTTTTGGACTAGCCCCTGAGAGACCCATTCATTATATATCGGCTTGCATTGAGACAAGAAGTCATAGAAAGACCCTCCATAAATCACACCCTGCTTTAATCTCCTGCTCATCATCAGGAAAGTGTTTGCTGGGGTTGTAGATCAAGTGAGCAGTAAGGCCCTTTTCTCATACACTTCTATCTTGTACAGCCGGAAGAGTCATCGATCAGTTGTTGCACCCAAGTCACAAAATCAGTGATTTTTAGTGATATGTTGGATTGAAATTTTTTTTTACTCATAAATAAGAACACGCAGATTTATGTTGGAAATGAAACATAATTCACATAGACTAGGAAGCTCATGAATGTGAGACTAAGAGGTCCCTCCTTACTCTGCGTGTCATCAGGATGAGCTTCACTATGAGGAAACTGTGAATAATGTGGGGTTTTTGTCACTCATAACAGTGAATACTTCCTCTGAATAAGAATTTACATAGTTACATGGTTTGTTTTGGGTTTTAAGCATTTAAATATGTATTACCTTGTTAATATGAACTGGGTGGAAATATAATCAATTTAATGGTAAAGACCAAAAGAGGGGAGAATTTAGTTTCTAGTTTATTAAGAATTTGATCAGAAAAAAAAAATTCACAGTCATTGTCACACATTGTGACATATTACAGAGACAAAACCATGTCTACATAACAAACTTTTGTTACGTAGACATTACATTTAATATATTATATTATAAATGCATGACTGTAAGGTTTAGGTATAAGGTTAAGAGAATTCACCTTAATGTAAGCGAACGTCCCCTGAAGTGACAGAAACAGGATAATGAGTGTGTGGCGGATTCCCCTCTAATTGCCATCTTTGTTGTAGTGTACACAGCTCTTGCGTCACGCCACACTGAGGGAACTCTTGTCAACACCGGGTGACCCACAGGGAGGAAGTGATGTGTGAAGTAATGCAAAACACGAGTTTAAGGAAAATAATGAAAAACAAGCAGCAGCTCCCCCAGCTGGATGTGCTGCTTAAAGAAAGACAAGCAGAGAATAAAACATAACCTACAGAAGATTTTTGTATCCATAAGTTATAAAGACCTAAAAAAAATGTTGTATTCTTGAATAAATTACTCAACAAAAATGCTCAGAATAACATTAAACTATTTGCTGACAATTAAATGTTTATATGGAAGTTTTTTTATGCAAAGATGATGAAAAAACATAATGTCCTAGCTCCCCAGTGTGCTGGATTTAGTGTAAATGATGTCATTTTTTTATGGAAACATGCATCATATACCTGCGAGCACATGATACACAGATTTTTACCAATTATATATTTATTTTCTTTAAGAAACATTTCAACAAAAATCTTTCTAACTGTATTTTTAACTCATTTTTTCTATTGTGTGTTTCTCTTTCCTGCTTCATGATATGTGTGCACATTTGACCTTTTCTGTGTGTATTGTTCAAGATTGAATAGAATATTTGCTAGTGAGAGGCTTCCACTTGTAACAGAGAATTTTAAAAGTTCAGTACGTTTGCTGATGCTGATAAGCAGGCCTCTGCTTCCACCTGCTGGCTAAAAGACACACACACACACACACACACACACACACACA